ACCTTTAACTATGATTCCATGTGTGATCGGCATGGTTATTGGTGACCTATAGGTCACTCCAGGCCAGTTTGTAGGTTTGCTGTCGCCAAGCTGCCCGTTGTGCTTTCCAATCCCAAGAGAGCCATGATGCTCGCTCTGATCCGCATTGGCTCAGTTTTGGTGAAGACCGCAGGAGAAAGGCCTCGACAGATGAAGGTCCAATTACCCCGGATTCCTTCAATGATGGATGCCTATGTGGATCAGACTTTATGGGTCTGTATGGTAAGGAGACAAGGACCGATCGTGCCAATGTCAAGAGCAGGTACTGGCTTTGTCATTTGCCATCAATGACTGTCCAATAGTCTGGGCGAGCAAACTGCAGCCGAGCATCGCCCTCAGCACCATGATGTCGGAGTACTATGCCTTAGCCACCTGTATGATGGAGGTGATCCCATTCGCAACACAGTGAAAGCTGTCGCCAAAGGGATGGGATTAATGAGCACTTGCTTGCCTCGTTCAAGACCACTGTCTGGGAAGACAACGTGGGAGCTCTAACTCTGGCAAACCTCGGAACAGGTCAAAGCACTCACTCGCTCAAATGTTCTATGATGTGAAAGGTGCATTGGTTCCGCAGTCATCTCAAGCCTGGTAAGCTCGAGGTGGCAAAATCGACACAGCAGACCAGCTCGCTGACATGTTCACCAAAGCCCTTAGCGAGAGAAGTCTTCGAACGGCTTCGACTTCGTTTAATGTGGCTGGTAGCGTGCTACAGTTTTTCAGCTCGCGGAGTAAGATATTTTTCTTCTCCTCTGGCTCTGAGCTGCATGTTTCGTCGCTTGGAGCTAGCGTGAAGAGATGTTGGCGTCGTTCTACTGGTGCGCACGTCATTGGATTGCGCGCACAAGCTAGATCTCGCCAAAGAGGGAGACCTCCTTTTTCTTTTTCGCCAACTCCAACTCTACCAAATTATTGCGTCACGACAAGGGCACTCCAACGTCACCATGTCACGTCGCGCGGATCTCCACGCTGTAATTTTCAAATCAAGTCGTTGCTAGCGCAAAAGTTGATTTCCATCTGGACGTCGAAAACTACCACGCTGAGAAACCACGCCAATCAACACCGTTTTGCGAAGTGGGTTTTCGCTCCAGAGGGAGCTCAACAACAACAACTTGATTTGAAGGCTCACAAAATCGAAGTGGACCTACAATAGAAGGACTGCTACGACCACGAGCTGCACACACCCTGCATTTTATTATCTGTTGCATATCTACTCCATCTTGAGATCGACCATGAAGCGCACCGGAAAGAACAACCAAAGCAACAAGAAGAACCGTCGCAAGGTGCTTGTGAGTACTCCCAAGCAAGTTCCAGTTGCGCTGAAGCTCCTCCGAAGAAGAAGCCAGCTCCCAAGAAGGCTACCGTGAAGAAGCAGCTGGGAAGAAGCAAGTACCTTGAAGCCAACCGCGTGTTACCCCTGTTGCAAAGGCCGACCCTGCTGCGAAGGTTGACGTGGGAACGTTGCTACAAGACCCTGCCGTCAACAAGCCCCTCGCCATGATAACCAACCAGCCTGGTCTGTTCGCTCAGGTCGCCAATTCAGCTGCTGCAGTCGCCGATACTTCAGCAGCATCCAACAACGACGACTCGGTCTCCGAACAGCGTCGTGGAAGTCGTCGCCGTCACTTCCAAGAAGGTCCCCAAGACAACTAGAGCTGGAACTGCCGTCGCGATCAAACAAGAAAGCAAGCCTGCCGGGAATGACAGCTCGAAGCTCGACACCGACAAGCCTGTTGTTCTAGTTCGATGCCGTCCAGCTCAAGATAGCAGTGCAACCTCACAGTCGAGATGGTCGGGAAGCGTTGGTTCACGGACTTCCTTACAACCCACCAGGTCGAAGATCGTGGTCTGAGCGGACTCGACATCGAGACAAAATTGGAGGTCGCTCCGCGCTCATTTCCAAGCTAGTGGCTTTCATGAAAGACACTGTGTACAAGACTCGTATCCCTTCTGTCACGAAACGTCGAACTTGTCTCCAGCATTTCATGCGCACGGGAGTTCAACTTTGGGGTCTCACCATTGAAGAACAGCGCAAGGTGCTCTCCCAGGAGGACGGGACGTGCTACGCCGCCTCGGAGAATGACTATGAATGGAACGACCCTGAGCAGCCATTCATTGAAATTGACGACGACAATGATGAAGAAGAGGAGCAGGACGAAGACGAGGACGAGCACGAGAGCGAGAAATTAAACGAGGACGAGGTTGATCTACGAAAATACAAGAGATGGAGCCACTACCACTACATTGCATGTTTGTGTTTGTTTAGAGTTTGACATCGTTGTGCAGCAAAGAGGACTACGGTACAAAATTTGCTACCCCGTTCGGTTCAAGAGGGAGTGCGAGAGGAGCCAAAACCAGCCGGTGGTTGGCAATCACGAGGTGAACCTCCCGGGACTCGCTAGAACGAGGTAGACGTAGAATCCCCTTTTAATTTTTAGCTTATTCTTTTGTGTCATCCCATGTCTACATCGTACTGCACATCGGCCTCCGTTCGCACCACCGGCGAGACCTCCTTTGCCACGAGGAGCGGCATCCAACAGAGTAATCTTCAGATTGGTATTGTCGGAAGCTTGGGCCAAGGCATCGGCAGCACTAAATCCAGCCCACCCTCCTCCGACAATGACCACGTGTTTCTTCTTCTTCTCATCTTCTTCTTGTGATGACGCGGCGAGCGATGACCATCTTTGGTGATCCGTAGTTGTGGTTCGAGTGACACCGCCAATGGTAGATTGTGGTAGCAGGAAGGCATCACATGAAGAAACACTAGCACTAAGGAGCACGTTCAGCCAGGGCAAGATCAGCAGGAACATAGTCGAGGAGACCATGGCAGAGTAAGGCGATGGACTTCAGCCAAGGAAGGATAAAAGTGAGGAAGGATGAGGTGGATGACTGATCAATGAGTCACTCTGACCTCTCGAGCACTCAACTATCGGACCTCTAAATCTTTGTTTGACCACTTCTTCGTCCAATTATTTGCATCTGACCTCTAAGTCCAACGATCAGACCTCTAATTCTCCGTCAGCAAACTGCATGCATGCTTGTTGTCCGGAAGTTGCCTTCGCGACGACCATGCACCCACGGCCAACCCGTGTTGGCGGCATCGGCATACCATCTTGCTATAGCTATAGTAGGTCCTGTGTTGGTTACTTTATAGCAGCTGTTGTGAATCATTGTATGTATGTCAAACGGTGTATGTCTGTCTGTCTGTCTGTCTTTCTGATTGATGGATTGATTGAATGAATGAATGCAAAGAAAACGTAGCTCAAGAATAGTACAAGAAGAAGGTGTGAAAACCGCAAGCGACGAGAGAGACAACAAGGAACATCATCCTTATTATTCGAGCCACCGGCTATCTATAGTGATGATGAAGATGATATCGAGTGGTTTCCGCAAGACGATGAAGAGCTTTTTCGTGGGATTTTTGATGGGAATGGTGGTCCTACGACAAATGCCTTTGGCTCTTCAACCATATACCGAGCAGGAGACTGGGGTCAATAATCAGCCCATCAATAGCAGCGCCAGCGCCGTTGCTATGGATACTAATCCAAGAATACCTACAGAGGATGTCCAAGATAAGGATGTGGCTAGAGTCCTAGATACACAACCACAAACACAATCCACAGAAAAACAACCAATCGAACTACCAGCAATAGAAAGTGATCACGAGAATCCAGTCCAACAGCAACAACAAGTAGATCAACAGCAACAGCGACAAAATGAAGTCACTGCTGTTGACACGGGTGATGAAATTCCCGCTGTCAGTTGGGAGTCCCAAAACCAACCAGACTCGACTCTTCCACCCACGGCGTCTGTCTTTCCACAATTCATTCAAGACTACATTCAATTCCACAATCAAAATCGTGGACATCCTGCTGCCAAATATCTCATTTGGAGATGTCCGCCCAATGGTCAATGCGGTGGTACCGGAGATCGCATCAAGGGCATTTTGTCCGCCCTCTACACAGCCATTTGTACCAATCGAGTCCTACTCATTGATTGGCCCGTCGCGGGAGGAGGCGACGTCTCCCAATTTCTACAACCCCATACCATTGATTGGACCATTCCCAATTCCATCAAGGCATATATGCAAACACTAGTGAAATACAGTGCCATTGACAGTTACGCCCATCCCGCTTTTCAACAGTTGCAAATACCCGCGCGGATGGCGGACGTTCCCATGATTGATATGCGCTCCAATTTATGGAGCGAACACGTCAAAGCCGTCGTGTCCGTCAATGACACGCAATGCGTCCAAGAACAATTGTGGACCAAAGAAACCGTACCCAATCCATTTGCAACACAACAAAAGGTACTCTTTCGCATGGGATTCTGGGCACTATTCACGTTTGCCGATCAAGTACACGAACGAAAACTCAATATGCAAATGAGAACGGGTTTGTTGCTCGAACAACAACTCAAACGACAACAAGAGCAAGAAGCAATGCAACAACAACCAACTAGACGACGACGATTGCAACAAGATCCCCTTCAATTGAAAATCAATCAGGCCGTACGGACTCATTACGCCAAGGAAACCGCCCGCAAACAAAAAGCCATGATTCAACATCAACTGGCTGAACAACAAAAACGAAAATCACAACTCCAACGATTGCAAAAGGAAACCGCCATGGCCGGGAAAACTACCCTCCAACCCTACATTGCCGTACACATTCGAACCGGTAACGGTGGAAATTCGTGGAATGATCCGGCACGACACAATACCGTGCAAGATTTTGAACAATTCTATCACTGTGCCAAACGATTGCAAGACGGAATTTATCAACGACAACGAAAGCAGTGCATTGACAACAACGACAACAGCAAAAATGCGACTGGCAATACTACCTACGACTATGATTATCAACGACCACTCCCACCCCTTCCCATTTACGTCGCAGCCGACAATGTACTCGCCAAGCAAGCATTGGTCGCACTCGATCAACAACAATCGCAATCCAGTCAAACCATTCGAGTCTTGGAACAAATGCCCATTTATCACATTGATCGATCTCGCAGGGGAGGTCACGGCGATGAGAATACCGTGTGGGGAGAGTTTAATGTCTTGCTGGAATCGACGTGCCTCGTCGAAAGTCGCTCGGGGTTTAGCGATTTGGCCGCGTGGTTGCAACCTGCGCACGGGAAACGATGTGCCATTTTGTACAGCAAATGCAACGACCCCGTCCAAGTGGCAGAAGCCTTGGATGCTTTGGAGTTTATTAAATGTTGAAAGCGAGATTAGGGGGGAAAATCCATAAACAGGAATGATATAGTAGTCAAAAGATAACTCAAGTTGTTGTAATATTTGTGATTTCCAACGATCCATCAGCTCGAACTGAAACGCCAATGGTGGTTTCAGAGAAGCCCACCCCAGCTGGCGAGGCATACAAAACTGTTTGGTTAGTGGCTGTCAGAGCGATCCAACCGTTGGGTATGCCATCACCAATCCTGTCTGACAAAACCAGTCTGTAGCTGTTGTTGGTTCTGACTGAGAAGAGAGAGGAGTAAAGATTATTCCAGAACTCCAGTGGACCATCTGATTCCAATGTGGCCCAAATACCAGTCACATTGGTTTCTTTCTGCCAAACCCATGATGTTTCCCATGGATAAAAATCAGTTTGGATATTGAGCATGGCAGATCCAGGTATGGTTGGAAACCGCCCAGGCCAGTCTGGTGGAGCTTCTTTTAGGTCAGCACAGGTGGAGACAGGGGGAGTTTCATTCTGGGAACAATCGCACCATAGAAAAGAACAAAGATGCCCTGGGACAAAACCCGAGAACTGATTCCCATATAGACTCAATCTCATAGATGCCTTCAGTTGGCTGGGTAGTGTTCCTGTCAGGTTATTGTTGTGAAGATCCAGTGACCCCAATGAAGTCATTATTCCAACTTCAGTTGGGATCCGGCCAGATAGTGGATTGCCTGATAGAAAAAGCTGTCCCAGTGAGGTAAGGAGCCACAGCTCAGAGGGAATTTGACCAGTTAATCGATTCTCAGAAAGGTCAAGCAAGTATAATGAGGTCATCATTCCAATTTCAGTTGGGATGCTCTGGCCAGATAGCTGATTGCCTGATAGGAAAAGATCTCCCAGTGAGGCAAGGAGCCACAGCTCAGAGGGAATTTGACCAGTTAACCGATTCTCAGAAAGGTCAAGCCAGGATAGTGAGGTCATCATTCCAACTTCAGTTGGGATCTGGCCAGATAGCTGATTGGCGGTAAAGTGGAGTCTTCCCAATAAGCTTGAGCCACTGAAGTTATTGGAAGAAAGGTCAAGCCAATCCAATGGAGTTAGCAGCCCAAGTTCAGATGGAACTTCACCGCTCAACTGATTTTTTTCAAGTTGCAGCCAATACAATGTGGTCAGGAGCCCTAGCTCAGAATGCAGCGAGCCACTCAACCAGTTGCCAAAAAGCCCAAGAAGTCCCAATGAGGTCAGGAGCCCAAGCTCTGAAGAAATCAGACCAGTAAACTGATTTTCCTGCAGCCAAAGAGCTTCCAATGAGGTCAGGAGCCCATGCTCAGAAGGTATTTGACCAGTCAATTGATTCAATCCCAAGCGAAGATGTGACAATGAAGTCAATAGTGAAATCTCAGAGGGAATTTGGCCTGACAGTTGATTTTCCTCAAGGTAAAGCACAGTCAATGAGGTCAGGAGCCCAAGCTCAGAAGGTAATTGACCAGTCAATTGATTGAATCCCAAGTGAAGAGTTGACAATGAAGTCAATAGTGAAATCTCAGAGGGAATATTTCCAGTGAACCGATTGTCAAACAAACTCAAAGCAGTCAATCCAGTCATCTCATAAAGCTCTGTTGGTAACACAGATTCAATTGGCTCAGCAAAGCCATTGTTCCCCAACTGTGCCAACAACAGAAGAGACAAGGAAGTCAAGAGGGCAATGTCAGGTGGCAAAGATGGGGAAAAGCCATTGAGCCCTAGGCCATCCAGATTCAGAGATGTGAATTGTCCTTGGCTGTTGCAGGAAGGTATAGATTCAATATCCCAGTCTTGCAATTCAATGTACATGTCGTCAATAAAAAATCCAAATCCACTGGAGAACCAGTCACATTCCTCCTTTGTGTCATCCATCCAGCGTTCCTTTATGAGAGGATTCCAATTGTCTCCCTCAAAGGCATAGTAGAATGCAGCCAGAGCAAAGAGCTGCGTCTTTCTCCATTCAGGCAAGTTTGTGATGTTTTGGTGATTCACTAGCCATTGCCATGCTCTCCACTGCGGAGTCTCACTGCCATTGTAGATGCTGGCCAAAGTGTAGCCAGGGAGAGTACCGAATAGCACGTCTAGAACCCTAGTGGGGGCAGATGATGGTACTTCAGAAGGAGTCATAGAGCCATAAACGGTCGGAGCATATGTTGATGGCAAGAACAATTCCTCTGGCTCCTTCTTTTGGGTTCCTGCCACAGCTCCCACAATGACTGCTGCCACAATTAACAACATGACAAAGAAGAGAATGAACATCAGCCTCTGTTTCTTCCTCTTTTGTTCTCTCTGCTGGACATGCTGGAGATTGACTGGATCTGCGGAGGGCCTAGTTTGTTCCTCCTCTGGATCTTCTAGAACGAGATTTGCCACTGCCAAGTGTGAGTCATTTGTTGATGGAATGTTGTCGTTCGTGGCGTTGGCGGTGCTTTGTTGTCCTGCATCGTGTGGTTCAGCCGGTGCAGAGGCATCGTCAGGATCCCCTATCTGACCTATCAGTGAATCCTGATGAGCAGTACTTGCACCAACAAGGGAATATCGTAGGGTAGTTGCACGTTGTAAGGCTTCTCCTGGTAAACCCAAGTAGGCCCCTGGTCTCAACGGCTGATGTTGTTGCCTCTGTAGTGGGGTAGGTTCTGGTAATGCGGCTGGTAGTACTCCTGCAAGTTCTGCACTTTGCCGATTAAGTCCTCCACCTTGTTCATTTGAACTTGTGGCATGCCGAGAATTGGCTGCAGTTCCAATTTTTTCCATTTTGGCAGCCTCGTTGCTTTCGGCTGCCATTTGCATGAGCTCCATATTATAACTAGTAGTGTCTCTTTGTTCTTCTTGCTCCTTCAGCATTATTTGTGCTGTTGCAAATCCCTTGGCACCCACTCCCGCAGCAACTGTGTTTCGCTTTTGGAAAAACGACAGATGGTGGCTTTGTGGAGTGTGCCTGACCCGAGCTACGCTTCCAGTACATGTAGAAGGTGTCGCCATGGCAGAATCGGTAGTACTGTTGGTAGTGCCATTATTATTGTCACCGAAGTTACTTTCTGCATTCACTTTGGAACTACCTGTACCGGTACGTTCCCGGGCATGAATTGCGGCAAATTTTTCCAGTTTGGCAGCCTCGTTGATTTCCACTGCCAACTGCATGAGGTGGTTGCTGCTAGTCATGTCTGGTGTTTCTTGATTATGGAGATCTTCTTTCGCATTGAGATGTTCCGTGACTGCCAAACCAGCCTGATCTGCCACAATACTGATGATTTCTTCTTCTTTCACTTCTTCATCTGCCACTCCATTGGTTTCTCCGGTGGCTTGCTGCTGTTCTTGCTGGTTGGCTGTCAATTGGGTTCTACCACTTCTACCATTGGTGAAAGCCTTGGACGAACTTCCAGGGATCTTCTTGGCTGGCCGTTTCTTGACAGATTCTTCTTCATCTTCCTGAGTTCTTATAACAGAGGTATTATGGTCTCGTTGGCATTGTAAGGCTTCTGGCACCGCTCCTTCTTCAATAAGGACGTCCCTTTCTGCTGGGTGGAGCTGATCAGGTCCTTTTCTGCTAGAGTTCTCGGCATCGCTATTACTCTTGCGACAGTCACCCCCGGAATCTTCGTTCCCATTCAAACCGCTGTTGTCTTCTTCTGCCATCCCTGCTGTTGTGCAATTGCCATGAAGTGCCAAGGCGGAGTAGAGTAAGTGTCTTTCGAGATCTCGAGAAGCCAACATTAGTAGACGCTGCTTTGCCTGCTTTATGCATGGGTTCGGGCAATGGACGATACAGTAGAATCGCGCCAAGGGCAGGATTCGGGGCAAATGCATGGGCATTATGCAAAGTGCCTCCCGAGAAGCCAAAATAATAGACACCGTGGGAGCCATGCATGCTTTTATTCCGGATTCGCGGCAAATGGGCGGATTGCCCACCACGGCACAAACGTACAGTCTTCGGTATACTGGTGGTGTACTGGTGTACTGGTCCCATGCAGGTATTGTTTCCAGTACCACCGGTACAGTACCGGCATCGGAAGAAAAAAAACAGGCGAGTGAGTGAGTGCATGCAGTCGACTCAGTCGAGTCCTGTCGAGTCGAGTCGAGTCGAGTGACTCGGTCAAGTCGAGTGCGACAGTCCAGCGGACGTCCGGCCTAGTCTAATATAGGGGGTTTTAGAGTAGGGAAATTATCTACGGAAGCCAGCCGGGGCCAGGCTTAATTAAGCAAAGAACAGTCGAAATTCAGGACTAGGTTCTGTGGGATCAGGGGCAAGAAATTGAGGACCATTACGGGGGGCAAAGGGTTTGGCTTTGCGGGATCCACCGAGACATAAATGGGTAGCTTTCACAAGGGCAATTGGGGTCTTCGTCATTTTTTGGCACAACGGATGAGATCTCATCATCTCATCTCCCAACGGTGGTGGTACCACCATGCATCTATCACTTTGCCTTTCAGGAATACATTATAGTGTCTTTCAGCAATGGTGAAGGACAAGTTTATGGACGCCTCCCGGGGTAGGAGAAAGAAGGAGGATGAATCGAAGACCAGCCAAAAGAAGAGGTTTCTTCAAGTCGTGGCGTTGGGGTTGATGGCATCCGCTCTAAATATGGCGACAACGATCCAGGATCGGTTGGGGTTCCTTACAAATGTGTCGACCACCATTTTGAGACAACCACGCAATGTTGATTCCATCTCCAAGAATCGTTCTTCCGTAGACCAGCCAGACGAGGAGCCGGAATCATCACCGATACCGGTACAATCAGTAGCACTATCCACACCGATCCACGTCCTTTTTCTGGGAGCTATTCCTACATGGAATTCTTGGATTGGCATCACTTTCAACGCGATCACAACCATACATCCGAATTCCCACCCAACTATCTGATTCACGAAAAGTACCATGAGACGTGGCATGGCTTTTTCCAAAATTCGACCGACTACTTTGAAGGCAAAATGACGTGCGATTGTCGTCGATCCGAACAATTCTCGCCCTATTACGAACTGGAAGATCGCTATTATGCCAATGTGGAAGGAAGCTTGTGGGCCACCTACATTCAAGGGTACGGCGACTATTACGCTCATGGCCGCTACATGCCAAAGGATATCCGGCAAGCACACGTATCCCCGGGAGATGGACCCAACAAGGACACGACACCCTTCCAATGGAACTACGAAGGAAAGAACTGGGACAAGTTATTCACCGAATTTGCGGCCCAGCTAGAACCACGGCCCACCAGTATTGTCTTGAATGCCGGACACTGGCCCCACCAGGGCATCACAAGGAATATGGAATCCATCTTGCGAGCCGTAAGGGAGGTCATTGGATGGGATGCTGGTCATCATGTCATTTATCGGGCCACGGTCAAGTCACAGTATGGTCCCGTGCAACTGTCGAGTGCCGACCAAGCAGCACGCGATTGGAGTTTGCGCATGCCCGGGATCCTGTTCCAACCCTTTCCTCCTGCCTTGGCGACCAGTTTGACTCCCGAGGATTACTTTGACGACAAGCATTTTGCACACGCAAGAACCTATCGACAATGGAACCAGGATCTGGTCCAAGCGTTAACAATACCCGCTACAAAAGTGCATCGAGTGTTTATTCTCTCGGGAGCCGTCCGAACCTTGCAACTCACCAAGGAATCCTTACTGCACCATTGGATGTTACCTCTCTGTCCTCCGTCTACGTGCGTGGCACACTTGGTCACACACTTTAGTTATACCGACAATCGACCCAATCCACGCGCCAGTGATCCACGAGGCAGTGTCGTCGAGTCCAGTAGTACGGCGAATGATGGCAGTCGCTTACATTTTCAAAATCACAGTTTCCCGGAGGGATACCTGGTACTACACCCGGTGGAGGATGGGTACAACATTGGATCCCAGGAAGAAAAAGACGCCATGGATCTGGTGGAACGAGAAACGGGAGGAACACTGGCTGCCAAAATGAGAATCTTTCGCGTGGGAGATCCTCGTCGTTACTCCATGTGGTTTGCGCGGGCATGGACGTGGCGTCATGTGCAACAATCCATCGTCCCAAACCTGGAAGGCTTGGTCGACTTTTATGCCTTTACGCGGCCCGATATGCTCTACATGATACCCGTACCCACGGTCAACTTCTTTCGGGAATTCCGCCAACGCGACCAGGAGGAGGTGTGGGTGCATGACACTTATTATGCCGTATATGCCGACACATTTGCCTTCTTCGAAACCAAAGAAGCGGGGGACAAGTAATTTAATTTGGAGTATTTGATCAAACCAGGGGTGCTCTGTCTTGGCGGGCCTGACTTTAATCGCACTCTGGTCCAACAGCGCATGGCAGAAATGAACGTGGTGACGGACGAGGAGGATTGGTGTGCCGATCTTACAAAGGGAGTTTCGGAATCCATTCTTGGAGCGAGACTGCATAAAGCGGGAGTACAGATTCGTCCGTTCCCGGTAGCGGCGGCCATCATGAGACCACCGTACAATCTCGACTGTCAGCCACTGCAACCACAGTTCAAGTATGGTGGACGACATGCCAGGACACACTTATCTCTTTTCACTTGCCAGGCAGCCGACAAGGCCATACAAGAACATCACGCAGCATTGCAGGCAGGTTCAATGCCCATGACGGACATTCTCAGGCAACGGTCCTTTCGGCTTCGAGGCAAATCAAGTGACGACTACAACACTTGTTTGACGATGGAAAAGAATGCATCCAGCGCCTTTGGCCATAGCCTCAATCCACAACCTTGTCACTATCCGGTGCCCCCGGAACAAATGTTTGGCAGCAAGGGGGATTCCATGTTTGGATTCCTGACAGAGCCCAAGTATCCGTGGCACAATCCTCAAAAAATCACCAAACTGCCCGTGTCACCTAATGTTGCAGATGCGTGGTCACGGGAACCAGTAGAACTCTATGAGTACCAAACACTCGACCACGAGAACGATGAAACCAGGCTGATAACACACGGCCCACCGCAGACAGCGTAGCTCAGTCTTCAGTTGGGCTGGTCGTTTACTGCTTTCGCCTTCCAGAACTACACACTATGAGTTAGACACAATACGACGGTGCCGTTCTGTCGCAGCAAGTGGTACCACGGACTTTTTAAGCTTTCTTCATCTTGTATTGCCAACTCACTTCATCGCAGCAATGCAGACACATCTTTGAGTTGCCAACAGTGGAAGACATTGAGAGAATTGGGCGGGCTGTGGTTACCTGGATGTCATATTCTTGCTAGGGGGGGGGGGGACATGCAAGCTTTTTCCTTGGGGTAAGACTTATACAATGAAACTACACACATATCATAGGCTAGCTTGCGATGGTATTCATTTCATACAGGATCACTACAATCATCAAGGACAGGGACAATCACAGCCACATAGTTTGCCAGTACACTCGAAGGAGAGAGTACAGTTCTGTGGAGCTTCCCAAACAGGGTGATAGAAACAGGACGCTTGTTGGAGGTTGCAAAACCCCTGGGGAATATTCCCAGTCAAGCCTGGACTGCTCATACCCAAGTTAGTCTCCCATGTAGAGATGTAGATGAAAGGCCCAGCAACCGGAGCAACATGGCTGCTAGCTAGTGTTGGTCCGTTCTCGCCGGCTATAGTACCCGAAGTAGTATGTACAATGATTAGTAAGTACATGACATTGTAACATGAGTAGCTAGAGTAGTAGAATCGACCGTACCGTACTACAGTATTCCGGTTCCAAGTTTCCCCCACCCTCTACCGGTACCTGGTACATGTACGGAACGCACTGACGTGTTTTATTTTCGTCTTTGACTGTCACTCGTGACTCGTCGGTCCAACGTCGGAGGCCATAGCATGATACTCTAGAGTACCCCGTCCAAAGATCGCGATCCAAGGCGTTTTGGAAATCTTGGTAATGTACCGGAACCAATTGATGGAACCATGGAAAGGCGCAATTGACAAGTGGCAGATCTTCTTGTGAACAACAAGCATGCCTCATGATCACTTCCATCTCTCTAAAGCACATCAGTTGCTTGATAGTAGATATATTAGCTCTCGTGGCAGTTTTGATTGGGTTGTTGAGAACAGCACCTCGATCATTTGCCGAGTTCAAAGGGTTGTCACAAAATCGATTTGAAGCCATTGTCATGCCCACTGCTGAAACCGCCAAAGAAGATGGCGACGGTGGTAAGGATCACCCCATTGTGATTGCCGGTGCCGGTCCCTGTGGCCTCGTCGCAGCCTTGGTGTTACAGCGCCATGGAATTCCCATCGTCATCTTGGAAAAGGCTTCCCGTGACAAGCTGGATGCCAGTGTTGGCAGTGGCTACGATTTGTCTCCAACCACCATTGAAATCGTTCAGAAACGCCTGGGACTTGACACCACCAAGGTGTTTATTCAGTATTCTGCCTTTCAATGCCGTACTCTGGAAGGGAAGGTGGTGCGAGATATTGAGTTCCCGAAAGCCCTCGACCCGAGCAAGTCGTATCAGCAAGCGACGCGGCCTGGCTTGCAGGGGCTGTTGCTGGATCAGCTTGTGGATCAAGAGAAGGTGTTGAAATGTGGTGTGGGTGTGGAGTCCTACCAAGAAGATGTCGAAAAAGGGGTTGTGACCGTGCATCTGGTGGATGGAACCACAGTCGTTGGAAAGGCCCTCTTGGCATGCGATGGCATACATTCCAAAGTCCGCAAGTGTATGCACGGAGGCGACGACGTCGATCCATTGTCGTATTGTGGGACGACGTGTTATTGGAGTGTGTCTCCGAAACCAACACCGGGATCTGCGCTGGAGAGTGCCATCAACGAGACTCAATCCTTCCGCCAAGAAGGGCCATCCTTTGTCTGGGGAATGGGAAGTCATCGTGCTCCTGGCTCATTCTTTGTGACACCCAACAACAACGGACAAGGAGTCTGGATGCTCGGTCTCAAGGAGGAAGATCAACCAGCAGCCAACGTCTCAGATGATCTTCGTCGCAGAGGCGGTGCAATCATGACAGAGGAGTCCAAACAAGCCCTTTTGGACATGTTGAAGCAGCGCTCCAGAGATCATGACGCATCCATGATCGAGATCATTCGCGCCACCCCAGAGATTACCCAAGCTGGCTTGTTTGACCGTGCCAATCAAGATTTGCCTTTTAGTAGCCCCGGAAAACTGGTTGCATTGCTGGGCGACGCGGCCCATCCACAAAGCCCATATCTAGGGCAGGGATGCAACATGGCGGTGACAGATGGATACGTTTGTGCCACTCTCCTTGCCCGCCACTCGTCGGTTGCCAAAGCGGTGGAGACGTATGACTGCGAGCAGCGTCGCAAGGAAATTCAACACGTTGTCAAAGAGGCGCGCAATGCGACGGATTACTGCGTCTCCTCCAGTCTCTGGAACTATTGGTTCTTTTACAATCTCATGAAATACGCACCAATGGACAGCAATGTCATAATGGACAATCTTATCCAGCATGATAAGAGCAATGTTTCGTGTCTCCGCAGATTGGATGGCGTCGAGGATGAGAAGCTCTCCAAGCTATCAGATATTTCAACGAATTGGGTGAAGGTTGCCATTGTAGTTCTTGTCGCTGTTGGAGCTTCCATGGTTTTGAAGGGAAAGTTGGCAGCTGTCTAGCTAGCTAGTAGCCTGGGGGAGGTATCTTGATTTGCTTGTATTGTAGCAGTGTCCCATCCAAATCGTATGGTTTCTTCCTTGACTATGATTCGATTCGTACTGCACCCGTACTCGATCCCCTTTTTTCTTGATCCTTGATGACTATTCGAGCCGACAAAACAGCCGTGATGTTCTTGTCGAAACTACCATTTAGAACCTTTTAAAAGACGCCCCGTGCCCTACGTTGTCCCCTCAGCAATCAACTCTCGTTGGGCATACCGGTATCCCCCTTCGGTCTGCCAGTATGGTAGTTCCAGCTAGCGAGTACAACCCAATGTGTGTAACCATCCGTGCAAACGTCCAGCTGCCCACATTCAACCGAACTTCGTCAACTGCTTCAGTGGGAAGTACGAATTGCCGTGAAACGTAGGATCCAATGCCAAAGCAAAGATCAAGTCACCATCGTAGATGATGATGGCAAACATTCCCATGCTGGCCAACACGTGGCATGGACGTGCCCCATTCAATGGAACCTGACCCCAAGACGCTGCAGCCCGGGTGCGTTGTAAGACTATGTGCAATAGCTCGACTTCCAAACGTTGCTGCGTTGCCCATGAGCTCCCTTCCATACGACCCTTTCGGCTGTCCTGTGCCGATGATAGCACCCAATCACTGCTCCTATGGGTGATAATGTTCGCCCGGTCATATATCTTTGCAACGGCCGGCGATGGGTTCTACAGTACTAAAAGTTCCTTCCGAGCTTGGACTTCCATGGGTTCGGTCTAAGATTTGAGTGGCAATCAGTTCCGTGGCACTGTTCCAGAGGAGGTCTGCGGTGGCTGTTGGGTAAGGGCTTGGGTTGGATTGTACGTCTATCTTATGGGGATGCAACTCTGCCTGTCCCAATACAAGCAAGCAATGTTTCTCTCACGTTGACACGGGATAAAACCAAAATGCATTGAGAGAGATTTGGCCTCGAATGGCGTGTTTGCATCGATCGAATCGGATCCCCACAGCCCATACCGTAGTAACCTCTTCGCGCATCGCTTACCTGCCAGAGCTTGCCATATATAATGGATGCTACTATAATTATGAACTACCAGGTAGTACGACTACAACTACTATAAAGAATGAAGCCATGATTTTTGTTTGTAAAGATTGTCTACTATGTGTTATTGTACTATGTTTATGTTTGTTTGTATTTAAGATTGAAGCATCAACAATGATAGAGGTTGGTTGTCGGGTGTCACGGGTATTAACTTTGGACTTTCGTCGCGTGGAGGACGTTCGGACAAGCACTCTGCAATAGAGGCTGCCTAGCACAGGAACCACAAACCTGGCTACCTTCGATGTGACCCTTCAATTGAACCAACTGTATTCATCTCCGCAAAATTGTTGTATAGCCCTGCACCCCACCAGATGCTTGCTCATTGTGTATTGTATTCATGTGTTAGTAGTCCCCACAATCCGTCGTCGCCGCCCCACTTACCTGTTGTCCTAGACTGGAATGTACCGGTCAGGCTTTCTGACTTGCCGTCCAGAAAGAGTTGTTGTTGTCTGAACTGTTGTTTGCTGCTGTGTGTCCGTCACAGGTTGTGTCATCGTCTTCTTCTTCTTCTTGCCCTTCGCCTTTGTCGACTTCTTCTTGGTGGCCGCCGCTCGTCTACGTTTAATATTTCTAGGTTGTTGAACTGCCACCCGCCGTGGTTTCGTCTTGATTTGTTCTGAGATCCTCTGAGATGCAATCGCCGCCATGCGTCTCTTTGATCGTCGCAATGTTGATTGTGCTGTGTCCACATTGTCGTCCTCGTCGACTCGGTTGTCGACCAGTGGTTCATCAGCATCGACTTGTTGTTGTTCCTCGACCAGTGGTTCTTCAGCTACCACTTCGTCGCCAGTCACGAATTCGAAATCCGTATCGCCCGAGGCAACGCCTGCCTCCAATCGTAGTGTCTTGTGCCGCCGCATCATTTCCTTGACAAGGTCTCCACCATCCTTCATCAAGGCTGCGAGAATGCCATTGGGTACCACTCCAAGTAGCACACCATTCACCATTCGCATCTCCAATACAGACGGCTGTTGTCCATGCACACTAATCTTGAAGTGTTTCACATGCCACTCTTGAACGTATGGGACCACGGCTGTGCATGTGGGAACCACCGCTGCTTCGCATGTGATTGTGGCATCGGATGCCATCTTGTTGTCGTCTTCGACGGTCAAGACTTTTTCTATTGCCTCGACGTCTTTAGTTGTTGTTGTTGATTGTTCTTCTTCTACTACTACAGGTGCTGCATCTTCCATGCAGACATCCTTGACCTTGCGATAGACAAATCGTCGTTTGGCAATCTGTTCTCGCGTATTCAAGGTGCAAATTTCGTCGTCAGCGTTGCGCTGAATTCCTCCGTGGTGCAAGTGGCACATGGCGAGTTCGAACATGTAAGGGTTCTTTTTGTTGACCATGAACCAGTGCGAGACTTGCTTGTCGTTTCCTTTCTTCGCCTGGATGAAACGAACAAGTCCCTCGAGGTCTTGATGCACGGCATCAATTTGAATGTACAGTTTGGCTTTTTGTAGGTACGCTTTGTCGCTTTGGAACCATAGGTTGTTGGTGATCCATTTGGCCACTTGTTGGTATCCGTACTCTTGAATCAACTGGACGAGATCCAAGACGCGTTCGTGGGGTGTCTGTGTGCCGATGGAAATGAATTGTTGTTGGGCTTCCTGCCAGAATTCAATTGTTGCCTGTGGCACATGTTTCTTCATGTCTCGATAGACACGACGGTTTTCTTCCTGTTCGCTCTTGTCAGAAGAGTACCCCACTACAGTGTTGACGGGAGCAAAGGATAAACGGTTTCCATTGCTCCGTTCGGTGTCTTGACCGTAATGGGTCTTCCAGCGAGCGTTGGCTGATTGACTGGGTTGGATGCGACAGCCCTTGGGCCGGTGCTGGTTGTTGTCGTATCCGTAGTGACCATGCTGATCCGAAGGAACCAGGGAAAGGTCGTAGGCACCTAGAAAGCGACCGTGCTGCTGGAACTCCACATCAGGATTGGTTTCATCTGTGTGCAACAGTGCCGCGGTTTCGACGAGTGTCTTGTCCAACTCATCCAGTTGGAACGTTGGGACTTCCTCTGCTACAGGAACATCCTTGTTGTTGTTGTTGTTGTTGTTGCCCGTCATCTCCTTGGCGACCTGGAGAACGGGGGTCTTCTTGGTGTTGCTGCTGTTGTAGTTGTCGGTGGTCCATGACCACGAGAGCAGCTTGATGATAGAAGAAGAGAACTTCATTTTGCAATTGATAGGTATTGAATAGAAGATTGGTAGGAAAGGTAATTGAATAAGGTCTGGGGGGGGTTGATCTGGCCTAGGCTTATCAACAATCGCAAAAGTCTTCCTTGTTCGGTTGGGTATGCAACTCTAGCAATCCGGTTGAACAAAAAAGTGAGCTCATCATGGTGACATCCAAATTGGGATGACAGATTCTGCCAGATGTTTGGGATGACGGATTCTGCCAGATGAAAAATGACTGATGATGAGACGAGACTGAGCCACTGATGAGCACTGATTTCATGCTCTATAGCACCAACACACCTAACAAGACCCTTCCTGGCCCTCTTGGAGTGCTTGGGTGTTGTTTGGTTGCTCTTTGATGGTGTTGGTCGCCGTGTTGGGAGGGTTCGGAGGGTGCTGTTGCGGAGGCTGTTGCGGAGGCTGTTGCGGAGCCCGCTGCGCAGGTCGAGCTGCGGAATGCGAGCGTCAAACACGATTGAAAGATTTAAGTAAAAGACTGAATGACTGCTCAAGGAAGCGAAGTGACTCGACTCGTCACTCGACTCGACTCGACTCGACTCGACTCGACTCGACTCGACTCGACTCGAACCGAATCGAATCGAATCGAATCGAATCTTCAATCGAATCTTCCCCAACCCAAACCCACGAGTACGACTCCTACTTAGCCAGCACAGTTGTTGCTGACGTGTAGAATTCCGAAAGCGAGGTGGACCAACCAGAATGCAAAAAAAGGTCGGAACCAATTCTCGGAAGCAACAAATTCTCAGAACAATGCGTGGTGCTTGTTCCCGTGGTTGGAGAGGCAAGGCAAGCCAACTGTAAGCAAGAGAGCCAATAGTAAAGATCCGTTGCAGAGAGATCCATCAAACATCCACAGGAGCCATCGTCAGCACAAAAGTTGGAGTTGGCGGTTTGCCAGTTTGATGATTTCTCATTCCAAGAAGTGCTGAACCTTTTGTCACCCTCAAGTTCATTATTCTATCCATCACTTTCTTTCGGGACCCATCAACCACCCATCACTACACTCTATTAGTAGAAGATATTTCTATACTTCTTTGTAAAGAAACAACAATGTCTCCTTCCTTTCAAGCGTTGGGTTGTACCAAGAAGATGTTGACTCATGTGGGAGTTGGCATGGGCGCGGCCAGTTTCTGGCGAGGCGCGTGGTATGTTCTCGATGATCAATTGTATCCGGAAGATGCCAACAAGAGTGCCGCGGCCAGTTTGATTTTGGGTACGGCCGGCATGGCTGCCTCACAAGGCATTGTCTATCGCGCCATGATGGTCCAGTCTCGCCTCTTCAAGCCAGCGGCCCGTTTTGGAGCCCTTTACACCATTGCCATGTCGTGTGTCTTGGTATGGCGCGGCACGTGGGTTGGATGGGATTGTGTCTACGAGTACTATTACAATCAACATTATCACACAGACTCGACACAACCTTTGAAAGATGGACATGTCAACCAGTCCTTTCTCGATCATGGTCCGGTCGGATTCGCCATCAAGTCGACCGATCCTGGTCACTTGACGACGAGTGGATTGGCATCGCACTGTGCTGCCATTGTCGTGCTGGGAGCATGCGGTGTCTTTGCATCCGTCTTGGCACCCCCTGCGGCTGTGTCGGTGATTCGAGATCTCGCCATTCAGTCTTCTAGGCGCAGTCATGCCACCTATTTTAAACCCAAGTACATCAAGGTTCGCGACACCATTGACAATCGAGCGTACGAATATGTGCCGCATTTGGCGGGCTACCTCAAGTCCCCCTCGGCACCGCCCTCGCCGCTCCAACGAGGAGTGTTGGCTACGACCGTACGAGGATTCAAAAGTGGAACTTCCACGAGACGAGCCGGACTCAAGGAGTTTTCTGGGTGATCCTCCAAGTAGTGAGATGACGATGGATGACATACACACATACACACCAAAGCAACAGTAGACGACACGACAATTTTGTAACAGTACATGCTAGGATTTAAACCATTAATAACCATTTAGTACATTAGAGATAACACAACACTTTCATTCAAGACTCTTCTCCTTTCTGCAGCTAGCTAGATGCAGCACAAACGGCGGGTGTCTGCCGGGATCTTGCCTGGTTCGCTCCTTGAACCACTTGACCAGACACTTCCTCCCCCTCATCGCCAGGATCGTGCAGGCAAGGCACATAATAATAAATCGCCAGGTTAGGTTCTCTCCACAGATGGCGTCCAACCAAGAATTCAGTTTACTGTATTGATTTGGATCTCTACGTACTACTAGCTACGATGCCAGCCAGTGCAGGTATGGTAGTACCCAATGCTCCCGGCTGCAGTGCGGCACTGGATGATGAACCCAACCAACCCGAGTTGCACATGGGCCGAGATTTCATTGCCAATGTTTTGGCCATGATGCAGCATGGAGCCCTGGAGCGAGTACCGTAAAAACCAGAAAGGCTTGGTCCCCTGATTTCGCAAATAGAAAACTACATCGTATTGCTTTTGTTGGTCACATTCATTACATCACCCATGAATACGACGCGCACGACCCATCTCATCAAACAACGCCCCTTACAGAGTACGGTACCAATGAACAGGAGCGGGTGTCTACGGTAATCAAATTCTGCAGGCAAAAGGAAGACCCAGATACTTTCTCCCCCTCATCTCTTTCTCCTGGATCGTACGGTACATCCACAAGAGGACTAGTGTAGGAACCTGAAATGAAAGGATGAATGTAACTCACGAACTGGAAACACTTCACCTCGCCTCACGTGCAAGCATTGCCTTTACCACATTTTGCCCATTTTCTGTCTTTCTTAAAGTTTTCCTTCCGGATTGTTCCCCTTTTGATATCGGCCACGATAATCTGCATGGCCTCCGTTGTGGCATTTTTTAAGCGTCAAAGATGACTTTAATGCATCAATCAAACGCTTCAACCAGTATGAGTTCTTCGTCTACGGAATTGAAGCGTATCAGGCCGGGGCATTGGACGGAATCGTCATACGCCTTGTTGCTGTTGCTGTTGCTGTTGCTGCTGTTGTTATCTCCTCCTCGAACAAGAGCCAGCTGCAGTTGATTCCCCACCAAGATCGATCCATCGCTGGCAAACACGGAATACTCGACATCCAATCCCACTTCGGAGGGATGTCGTAAGTATGCCGCATTAGCTACCAATGAGCTGATCCGTGCCCTGATCCAAGCCTTCAAATGGAGCGTCCGAACAGATCGCGCCGAAACGAACAGATCGCGCCGAAACGAACATCAAATCGCGTCGAAACGACATCAAATCGCGCCGAAACGAACAGATCGCGCTGAAACGTACATACTATTTGGAGCGTCCAAACGGACATGGAGTGTCCAAACGGACAGGCTGCAGGGTCAGAATTTTGGAGCTTGTTTTAAAATGGAGTGACAATCACTTCCTCGGTCCACTCCGCCGGAATCCTGTTCCACCAAGAGTGAAAGCTCGGAGAGCACGGCAAATGCGGCAGACGCGGTAGACTACCAATCCAACCACCGGTATTGGCAAACTTGTTGTTTTCCAGGCAAAAAGTTGTGTGTTGGCTTTGGAAAGCTCCCATCGCATGTATGCATTGGCTTGGAATGCCCAGACTGCGCGGCCAGTACTACGCCACGGGAAAACACAGTGGCTCGGTGGAAAAGGCGAATGCGGCTGTGAAATCCAAAAAGGCATCTGCCACATGGTCCGGCGTATGGTTGATGAATCAACACATCCTTCGAATCGAGTCGGCCAAAATATGCAGGGGCCAAGCTCCTCAGGTCTCACGTGAAGCAAGTGCTTCGACCTCCTGGATGTCTTTCAGATAGTGACTCCAAAGGATGAAGAAGAACATGGCTTTGCCTGCTCAAGCAAAACAGAAGTCCAGCCAGGCAGTGGACTTTTTCCAGTATGCAACTAACTAAGCTCACCCCAGAGGCTGTAGCTTTGAGCACCTACTTTTACAACTCCTGTGTGCAAAAGAGCTTTTGTCTCTACATGAGTGGGGAATACATGTCACTCACATTCACCCTGCTGCATCAGAACAACACAGCATGCATCCCAGTCGATACTCTGTATTGCCGTGAAGCAACCTCTACATCAAAGCGATCGCGTCGTTCTACCTTGGTTGCTTTGGACGAGAACGACCTAGCTCGCTTGACGACTACTAAAATCCCTAATCGCCTTCCGTACACACCAGGCGGTGACCATGCAGGAAGAGTGACTTTGACAACAAACAAACGAACAAACAACGGGGAACCGGCCCTAAATTCTATGTTACATTTTGTGCTTATTGTACAACGAAGACGACGAGATGCAGTTGGAGTTCGCTACTGTATTACAAGATGGTTCTCCGTTGATGGGGGAGTGGGAGATGTGGTCAGATAGATGTATGTGGTCGTAGATCCACTTCGAGATCACCCTCAACTAATGAAAATCCAGCTGGACTGCATACGTTTTGTCTCATTTCAGCTTCGCAGCGACAGGTCTTTTGACCACCATCGTGGCTCTTTCGTACATGTACGTACCGTACCGTACAGTACGATCGATTGCGAAGTTCCCAACCAAAAAGCTGAGGCCTCGAGGGTGTTGCGGGCTTTTGCTCGTCATCTTCTTGTTTTGGCATTTTGATTTGGCAGGGATCTTCCGGAGTGATGAATTATGCATAGTGAATGACGATTCGATTCGATTCGATTCGCGTCGAGTCGTGGCTAAATCAGAATCCTAATCATTTTTTGGAGCCACCCTAATCAATTTTTGGAGCGGCTCCAAAAATGGATTAGGGTGGCTCCAAAAATTGATTAGGATTCTGATGTATCCACGACTCCATTTGTCCGAGGCTTTAAGTCTTCTCAACTACACGTACTGGTACCGGTACCGGTACTTATTCCATCCCTTACCCTTTAGAAGGTGATCTCAGTTTAAGGAGAGGGCTAATTTTGCGAGAAAGGCGACAGCACTTTACACCACCGCGGCATAAAGTCAGATCCATCGGTCTTATTGTGTTGTGTTGTGTTGTAATTATCAACGAGAGACCAGACTAGACCAGACTAGACTAGACAATGGAAGAAGAAGAGATTGACCTTGACACTGGTATCCGTCGTATCATTCGACAGGAAGAACCACCGCCTCCTCCCCGCAACACCAATAAGATGCAAGATGGTCGAACGCGGCTTCGGCAAGGTGTTTCGCCGTTTCTTCCTCCTCCCGTTGTGAGAGCCATGTCGACGTTGGATCCTCTACTGGAACCATACGTAGGACCGGAAGCTTCCATTACACTCTTGACGAGTCTCTTGGTGTGTGTCGTCCTGGTGCCTCTGCTGCAGTCACTGGTTGGTACTACTACCGGTAGTACCAGTAAAGCATATGACGATGAGGAAGACGATTTGAAGGACATGGCCATGACTGCAGAAGACTATGGCGATACGGTGATTCTCTGCGGCCCCATGTGGGCTGGTAAGACACGCATCTTGTATCATTTGTGTCATTCCAAGGCATCCATGCCAACTGTCATGAGTCTACGAGCCAATGCCGCACTTTTGCCAACATCGACAAAGGAGGAAGACAACCAAAAGCCACTGCGTGTCCTCGACTATCCAGGACATTCCGGATTGCAAGACGAACTCTTTCGAGAATTGATCCAGTCCAGTCAACAAAATTCATTGCGTCTCATCTTGGTCGTCGATTCCACACAACCGCTGACTACGGCGGCCGATTTTCTGTATGATTTACTCCAATATGCCCACGACAATGCGTCCTCAAAGCCATGGCCCATTTTAGTAGCCTGTCACAAATCCGATTTGAGTTCCTCCAAAAATCCACGACGCATCAAGATATCCCTTCGCACCGAATTGGAAAAACTATTGCAGGTACAACAAATGGCCGAAGCGGCGGCTAATAATGACAATGATGAAAACAATAACAACAATAAATGGTGGAAACCAGGAACCGAATTGGATCTGGATCAATTGGAAAATGTCAAACTGAAATTTGTGGCCACCACGTGCAATGTGGGCGATGGTATTGATCCCATTGTGGCGTTTTGTAAACATGGGACAATGGAATGAAATGAATCGAATCATGAGGAATTACAGCTACGTGGTATGCGACTCATTTGATACTGACGATCGATTCGAACCATGACAGTGCCAATGTCGCTGCTACACTTGCTACGGAACCGATACCGGTACCAGGGCATAACGCTCCTTCTTCCAGAGATCAAACAGCTCACAGGCTGCTTTTGTTCTCGACGTTCTGACTACACATGCTACAGTTTTGAGAGACAGGATGTTTTCCATAAACTACAGGATATAGCGGATAATTTCTAAGGGTAAAGTAGGTACTATTGTAGTATCACTGGTGTTTACTTCTAAAGGTCAAAGGGCAAGGAACGAACAGTTGCATCTGTGTTGGATTGGAGACAATCAGCAGGATCTGGAATCGAATCGAATGATTGAATCCACCAAGAAGGCAGGCAAGCTGGCACAACAAACTCTTATCGCGTCACATCTCTTCCAGATGATGAAACCATCGATTGATTGGACGGTCATTCAAAGCGTTTGTGCCATCTTAGCCATCACCTCTCCACATCTGGTAGCTTCTCATGTCTCATCTCTTTCGAATGCTCAACCATCCCTCCTGCCTACTCTTCGAGTTCTTGGAAAATTTCTAGAAATGTTTCCGGTGGTTGTGCTCCCGAAAAGCCATAAGGTTTCTCTCCTTTGCCACGGTTCTTCTTTCCAATGACAAAGTAGGGAACACCCGAGATTCGATACTTTCGTCGACCTTGATCAATCTCGTGTTGCACTTCATTTGCAGCCTTGTCTTGTGCCAAAAAGGCTCTCAGATCCTCTCGTTCCGAAGGAGGAAGGTCCAGCTTTTCCACGGCAATTTCTACCAACGTATCAATCAAAGACAGATTCTTGCCTTCTTCGTACAGTGCCTCAAAGAGAGCTTGATTGGAGCGACTCGTGTCGCCTCCTCTCTGTGCAAAGTAGCTCACCAGCTGATGTGCCTTTGTCGTGTTGGGCCACCACTTCCAATTGTCAAAATTGGCGCCAATCTTGCGTCCCTCTCGTTTCATACTATGGGTCCATCCATCGCCACCCCAACGCCGTCGATTGTACGCCAAGTACTCTTCGCCTTCTCTTTTCGTTCCGGGGTCAATCATAAAGGGCTTCCATTCAATGGAAATGGGAAGCGCCTTGGGCGCCGTTTTATAGTCGTCTACGGCAATCGCCATGCGTCTCTGGGCGACATAGCACCTACATCCATCCATCCATTCAAACGCGTACATACAGAGCAGTAAAACGGCAAGCGAAGCCAATCAGAATCATGAGAGACAGCAAAAACAACTCAAGACGAGCCATACCACAAGTACGGTAGGCGCCATCTTACCAGGGTCACGCAATATCACTGTAAATAGTAACTTGGATAGCCTTCGCAGAAGCCATGGTGGCAAGGTAGGATGCAGATAGGACAAACCAACTACTAAAGACGACCACCGGCGGCAGCTTCCTCATGGTCGGTGGGAACCAAGAAAGCTGCAGAAAGATCGCGTCGAAAAGCGTCGGCGATGAGTAGAGGTCGTAACAATAATAAAATTTTAAAACGCTGTGCCCACGGCATTCCCTAAACCCGATACAGGTAGCTAGTCAAGTCTAAGGTAGTCTAGTTATAAGCATTCAAAAACACTGGACTTTTGCCAAGATTATCAAGAACATGTGCAATCACAGCCACACAGCGTGCCGCTACAATCAAAAGTGAGAGAGCAATTCTTCTCATGGAAACTGGGACCAAACAAACACGTGTCTTGGGAGAGCTCACAAAGTTTTCCAGGAACAACCCCAGACAGGCTTTGGCTTCCAACAAGGTTCAGGTACCCCAAGCTAGTCAGGAGGGACAACTCGGATGGAACTGGTCCTGTCAGCCCAGGTAAACTGGTCAAGTCCAACTCGTGCAGTGCCACAAGGTTACCAAGTTCTGAAGGGAGGCTGCTAGAGAGGTTGTTGCTTCCTAATTCAAGATTTGTCAGCTGACGGAGCAATCCCAATTCTGACGGCAAGGAGCCAGAACAATGGTTGTGTCCAATACTAAAACTTGTAAGGTTGGCCAAGAGTTCCAGTTCACTTGGAAGATAACCGGAAAAGCCATTGTTCTCGAGGCTGAGCAACCTCAGGAGAGAGAGGGAACCAAGATCACTTGACAAAGAACCTTGTAGGGAGTTACCATGTAGATTGGCCATAGCCAAACTTGTCAACTTCCAAAGCTCCGTTGGTAAAGAACCAGAAAAGTGGTTGTCATTTGCCCCAAAAGTTCTCAGTCTGGTCAACAGCCCAAGTTCAGTTGGGAATGGGCCAGAAAACTGGTTATGGTCGACCCGTGCGAAACGCAGCATTGTCAACATCCCAAGGTCACTGGGCAAAGTTCCAGTGAAAGAATTGGAAGACGTCCATAGGCTGTCTAGCCCAGTAAGAAGCCCCAGTTTACTTGGTACTGGACCGCCAAGTAAGTTGTCTTGTACATTCAGAATTTGTAGACTGTTTGCAGAACCAACCTCAGTTGGGAAGGATCCTGACAATAGATTTCCAGAAAGATATAGTCGGGACAATTGGGTCAACAACCCAAGTTCTGTTGGAACCAAACCAGTGAACATGTTTTCAGATAGGAAGAGAACAGTCAAGCTGGGCAAAACTATTTCGTGTGGTATGGAGCCTTCAAGCTTGTTTGACTTCAAGTTCAGAGTTTTCAATTTGGTCAACAAGCCAATCTCAGTTGGCAGCAAGCCTGTAAGGGCATTCCGAGACAGCCAGAATCTTCTCAGATCTGTCAAGAGAGAGAGTTCTAGGGGAATCAGATCATCAAGAGACGTTTGGATTCCATTGTTAGAAAGGTCCAACACTGATAGCGATGTCAACAGAGCAATCTCCGGTGGGATGGTTGGTTTGAGACCAGAAAGCTCCAAATTCATCAGAAACAATGATGTGAACTGTCCAAGGTCATTGCAAGGCAGCCTCTCCGCTCTGAAACGTTCAGGGACAGGCGCAAACTCTTGGGAAGTGTCTTCAGCATGGAACAGGCCTTCCCCGCTGGAAAACCACAAGCACTCATCTCTTGTGTCAATCATCCATCTCTCTTTAATGTAGACACGCCAATGCTCCCCCTCAAAGGAATAGAAAAAGGTGGCCAGAGCAAAGAGCTGTTTCTTTCTCCACTCTGGTAGGTTCGTCATGTTTCGATGGCGGGAGAGCCATTCCCATGCTTTCCACTGGGGAGTGCCAAATTCTCCAAGACTCTTTAGAGTGTAGTCTGGTAAATCTGTCAAGAGCAAATCCAGAGCAGCTGTAGGAGCAAAAGATGGTACTTCTGAGGGTTCCACGGATCCATACACAGAAGGAGTCTCTGTGGAGAGCAGGATGACCACCTCTTGTTCATTTTGCTTTTGTGAACCAATCACAGATCCGACCACAGTTGCAGCAACCAAAACCAACAAGAAGATGGCAGTGGCAATGAAGCAATGCTTCTGTTTCTTCATTTTCTTCTCCCGTCGTAGCATTTTATCCAGATCAACGGGTCTGGCTTGTTGAGATAAGCTGGCCTGATCTGCATCATCGTCGATTGCGTTGGCCTGCGCCAACTGCTCGTTGCCGTTACCGGTAGCAGTAGTTGGGGCAGGGACCGCGGCACCGCTTCCAGCCCCATCGTCAAGATTGAAACCACAAATACTACTACTACCAGCCCGCAAAAGGCCATAATCAAGAGAACTGGTACGACGAGGAGGGTCTCTCGAGCTCCCAGCCAGGTATGCTCCAGGCACAGTGGCATGTAGATGGGCTCCTCGACGAAGCCCCGAATCAGTGGTTGACTCTGGTAGGGCCATGATGTTGCTTATATCCATTGGGTCTTCATCTAGCTCTGGTGAGGCTCCTCCTTGCTTTGGAACCGCATTTTTCAGTGCGGAAATGTTGGCCTCTTCTTCCGCATAAGCCAGCAATGCTCGTTGTGCGGCATCACTTGTACCTGCTCCATTGACTTGCGCGACACTTTCCTCGTCAACGGTGACAGCTTGCTCCTCTATTGTTTCGGGCTTGTCCATCGTGATGCTACTGTACTGTACTATGATATATCGCTA